CTGTAATTAAAAAAAATATATATAAATAATACTTCTGCTTTGTGCATAAACACTATAATATTTTTGATACCCTATAAAAGGAAGGAAAAGAATGAAGCAAGTTAGTTACCATGTTTTTAAATGAAAAGGTTAAAAAAAATTAAAAAGAAATACAGCTCATCATGCTTTTTAATGCTCTGCATGTTTCAAATGTACAATACAAAGAATTAAAAACAACAGGAAAATCATATTTATCACTCTCCCATCAGAAAATACTGCTTTGAGCATAGTGCATTTCAGAGCAAAAGATTAAGCAAAAGCAGCTATTCTACTCATACGGAAAGATTATCTTAGGTCGTATCAAAGTGAGTGTCTTCATCTGATTCCTCTCTTTCCAGGCTAGCATAGCAAATCAACTCTGGCAAAATTTGTCTGAAATTCTTTACCTTCCTTTAAAACATCTATAGCGACAATAAAAAAAGGAAAACCCGACAAAAAAGGGAACAAAAGAAACCAAACAGAAAACCCCCCAAAAAACCAACAAACCACCACAACCAAACAACACTTGGCTAAAGCATGGACAGATAAAATAGTTGGTTTTGACCAGGACACAATCTTGACTGTTTAACCTGTCATTCCACATCAGTATAGAGAAATTCATTATCTGCTACACTGTATTATTATTCAGCCTATGGAAGTTAAATTTAACAGGAAAGCGTATCTAAGTGCTGAGATTTTGAAAGACTAAAATATGGCATTCGTACACCAAAGAAGTTGATAAAAATATTTTCAAACAAAACGTATTTACCTATGAATCCTACCTTACCTCCTTTTTAAACAAGTTCAAACTGACACAACCTCATTAATGTCAATGAATGTCTCACCTATTGACTTACTGCTGTGAGTGAAGAATGACACCCAAGATAAAAATTCAATATTTATGCATATTTTTTGGATCTTTTGGTTTTTTTTACATTTTACAAACGCGCCTCAAAGTTTAAATGTACCATCTCTTTCATGATATTGAATTAATAAGATGTTTTGCCTTACAAAAGTATATTTTTAGTAGCCTACTGATATCCATTCATCCAGGTTTTGTGGTGCATCTATGCAGGGACAAGACTTTTCAATCCTTTCAACAGAATGCTATCTAAAATCTCAGCAACAAGTCAATAGAAAATACAATTATAATGTTATTAGCAAGCAACATTCTCATTTTACGGCCTCATTACAAACTCAAGCTTATTAAAAAGTCAAGCTAATTACAAACAAAAATGCATGCCCTATAAATAAGCTTTTTCTAGTCTTACCCATTTTAGGTATTTCCAATGGTTACGTTAGCAAAAAAATAGTATCTTTCAGAAGCCGGTATACTATAATGCTGAGAAACATATTTTCCACTTGCACAATATGCATACTAAAAATCGTAACATAGCATACCGTATTATGCACTGAATTGTTTCATACCATATACCCAATTTTTAATTTTTTAAGAATTTCATTGACATTAAAATAAAAGATGCAATACAGAATAAATAAAAAATGAAAAGGTGCTGACTTATTCTAAACGTAATGTGAAAGTATGGCATTGAAAAAAAAACATTTAGTACACCCATATAGTAAATAATCCCATAAAAAAGAACATCTCAATATGTGCATATACTTAAATATATATATATATATACACTCAGTTTTAAGTCTAAATACATTGATTTAAGGGTTTTGCTTATTTGCTTAAGGGGTGTGTTTGTGTTGGTTGGTTGTTCATTTTTTGTTTTGCTTTGTTCTGAACAACACTCCAAAAATGCAGCACTGCACAGCTCTCATTATTACAGTTTTGTGCTGCATACTACAGAAAACATTTACCTGACTCCACTGATTTAAGACATATTAACAGCTTCTGTGGGAGATTTTGACAACTGTGATTTGCCAGATCCTGCTTCATTTCATAACCAGTGTGCATAGTTCTGATCAAGTCAGGCACAAGTGCTTATGTAAATTTAAGAGAAGAACCTAGAACATAAGAAGGTATGAAAATACACTCTCATAACCATACATGTGACTGCAGTAATAACTAGAATATTTAGTGTCAGGGCAGCAATGTTGTACCTGTCATATCATAGCTACACATACAATATGAAAATCCAGGTGACTATAATATGGGTAGCATTATTCTAAGATTGGTGTAGTAAAAGAAAACAATGGCTTAATTCAGCCACAAAATTAAGAGGGAAATGTTCTGTATGCACTAAGTAAGATATTCTCAATAAGAAACTACTCCTTTTCTCACTTGACACCATAGAAGTTCATTAGGTTCGCCACTAACAGCTCAAGGTATTCAACAAAAGTATGTCTACTCAGAGCAAAGATAAAGAACGATCTCCTCCTCCTTACCCATCCACTCCCTCCTTGTCCAGATATGATTTTGCACTTAGCACCAAAAAAAAAATAATTGGATTTTCTGGATTAATATATGTTTGAATGCTTCTGAGATAAGTAAAAATACCCTTTATTAAATATCTATTTAAGAAACAGATGACTGTTTCTTTGACTGACAACTCTCTTAAATTGTATTAGTTTAGGAATATACCAATAGTATCCCTTCAAATACAACCCCTGGCAGGGTGAATATTTCACTTATCAACATATAGGACATCTTTTTAAAACATAAATGTATTAAAATTATGCACAAAATATGCACAGTCTATTTTATACCAGAATGAAAATATTATATTCTGGTCAAAATTCAGTTTGAATGAAGCAAACGTATCTCTATGCATTTTGCATCCTGCTCTTCTTGAAATGGAGGGCAACATTTGGATTATTTTGAGATATTCAATTGTAACATTCTTGTATTTGTGACAATCGATTTAAATTTTATTTACAAATTGAGATAATTATATTTAAAAGCAAAACATATTTAGGATTTTCTTTTTTTATTTAGGTCGGATTAATCTTGCTAAGAATTCACAATTCTCCATTTATTTCTTGTACTCATTTGATTTTTCCCTTGTCAATATATTAGAACATCAACTCTTTATGGCTAACTCCGGCTGTGTTGTATAATAACACAGTATCTAACATATTAGGCTACAGCACTATAGGTGCCAGTACAAATGAAATAATGCAAATATAATTTTAATTTTTTTCTGTTGAAGCCTAAAATCCATAAGGTCACTAAGCTACATGGTATAAAATGATATAACAAAATTCAGAAATTGAAAAAGCAAACATTATCCACTTGGTTTTGTTATCTACACCACCACTATTTTTTAAAAAGTTCTTAACTCCCTGTCTGTCAGGGAAATTGGATAGTGCACTTATTTTCCTTTTACAGATAACAAGTTCAGAAAGTGATTTGGATGCAGAAGTGAGAAACCTAACTGCTACCCAAAATAAGTGCTCTGAGCTATCCAATAAAGATTTTTTGACTATGCAGGAAGATTAAGTTTCTAGGTTTGTGCGTATGCTCCTGGCTATATTGAAATTTGTGCTGCAGGAAGGGGAGTGAGTATCTAACGCAATTATGAACATACGTTTCAAATACATATGCAGTTTTTTATTTTTCTTTTTTAAAATGCTGTGGGAAGAAAAAAATGGAAGGAACTCAACCTTTATTTCATGTCAAATAGACTTTATAAAAAATAAGGACTGCAATTATGACATTTGCTTACTCACAAAGCAAATCAATTACTTTCACAGGCATCACTCTCATCCTATTTGCATAGCATAAGCAAGTTCAAAATCAGGCTCAGCGAGTATAATACTTCTTCCCTGAAAAGGAATCAAACTATAACAAATATAAAAGAAACAAAGTAATTTCACTGTGCATGTTTTCTATGAAATATTACTATGTCTTTAAAAGCCTTGACAAAGGTGCACAGTCTAAAAAGAAGGCATAAGAAGGGCTCAAACTAGAGAGCAGTTTGTTGCCCTCAGTTCCTAACAAAATTTGTAGAGATTTGATGAAAACAGTGAGATTTGGAGATCAGTGATGAGTGGTGTCCCTCAGAGGTCAGTGCTGGGGCCAATACTATTCAACATCTTTGTCAGTGACATGTATAGTGGGATTGAGTGGTCCTGCAGCAAGCTTGCTGACAACACCAAGCTGTGTGGTGCAGTCAAAATGCTGGAGGGAAGGGAAGCCACCCAGAGGGACCTTGACAGGCTTAAAAAGTGGGCTGATGTCAACCTCATGAAGTTCAACAAAGTGAAGTGCAAGGTTCTACACCTGGTCATAGAATCATCAAGGCTGGAGGAGACCTCTAAGATCATTAAGTCCAACCATTAGCCTGCCACTGTGCTGTAAACCCTAAACCCACAGCATCAGATCCAAAACACCTCTTAAAACACTTCCAGGGATGGTGACTCCACCAACTCCCTGGGCAAACTATTGCAGTGCCTGGTCACCCTAACAGTGAAATTTTTTTCCTAACATCTAATCTGAATCTCCCTTGTCTCAGGTTATGACTATGGCATCCCCCACCTCTCTATAACCTCCTTTCAGGTAGTTGTAGAGACTCATGAGGTCACCCCCCAGCCACCTCTTCTCAAGGCTAAACAAACCCAATTCCCCCAGGTGTTCCTCATATGACATACTTTCCAGAGCTTTTATGAGCCTTTGTTGCCTTTGACCGGACTCGCTTCAGCACTTCAATGACTTTTTTAAACTGAGGGACCCAAAATTGAACAAGGTACTCTAGGTGTAGCCTCACCAATGCCAAGTACAGGAGGATGATCATTTCCCTAGTCCTGCTGGCCACACTCTTGATACAGGCCAAGATGCCATTGGCCTTCTTGTCCACCTGCGCAGACTGTTGGCATATTGAGTTGGCTATCAACCAGCACTCCTGTTGCTTTCTGAAGAAAAACAGTTGAGCCACTCTTCCCCCAGCCTGTAGCACAGGACCCAGCACTTTGCCTTATTGAACCTTATGCAGTTGTCCTCAGTCCATTGATCAAGCTGGTCCAGGTCCCTCTGTAGAACTTTCCTACCCTCAGGCAGAACAACACTCCTACCC